GTAGACAATTGGGTCCCATGTATATAAAGGTTTTAATGACGGAGTAATCCAAACTAATGTTGTGAAATACCTGGGTGTATTCATCGATCACTACTTAAAATGGACTTTCCATATAGATTATCTGGCTAAAAGAATGAGAAAGCTTATATACAGATTTTATCAATTGCGCAATGTACTAGCTCAAAAACTACTTCTTATCGTTTATAGCAGCTTAGCCGAATCAATTCTTAGTTACGGCATATCTGTTTGGGGTTCGGCGTATGAAACCACACTAAAAAAGTTACAAGTTTGTGAGAATTTTATCATACGCGTCATATTCAAGATTAAAAGTAGAGTAAGTGTAAGAGATATCTATACAACAAATTGTATCCTGAATGTAAGAGGTCTATATATTAAATCTATATTAATATTAATACATTCGAAGAACAATCTGTATCATGCGCACCACTCACACAATACCAGAAGTCGAGCTGCACAGATGACTCCTATAGATCGTGTTAGTAAATCAGTCTGCCAAAAAAGTATATCTTATAATGGAATAAAATTATATAACAGTTTACCTTCGTTATACAGAAGATATTCTAGCCGTATTTTCAAAAAGAACATTAAATCTTATATAGTTGTCAATTATGTGATAATGCACTCCATGTTGGTCTAGGACAAACCATTATTATCAACCTTTAGAATTATAGCTTGTATACTTTTATTACATATTTATAATGTTTCTTTTTCTCTTTCTTTCTGCGTGTAGTTAACTTTTAATAAGAAAGTAACTCTCAAAACAAGGCACAACACAAGACATTGTCTTAGGTGCCTTTATGAAAGAAACGGCTGTTATTTTATGTACTAATCTAAAAGTTAATAAAGTTTATTTATTTATTTATTTATTAACTAAGCCACTGCCAAGTTAGACCAACATCAACCGCAAAAGCAATCCGGATTCAGATCAGGTTTCGGCACAAATGATCACCTTCAAACTCTAAAAAGCCTAATTGAGAAATCGGTCGAATACAATAATAGACCGTTAGTTGAGGTGTTTGTAGATTACGAAAAGGCATTTGATACCATCAGCCAACAAAAAATGTTAAAATTCCAAGTTCACTCTCGTATAGATCATCGGTATATCACAGTGATTAAACATATAATATATGAGAATACTGCAGCTTGTGTTAGGCTCCATGAAGATACTAACAACTATACTAATGCCAAGCCATCAATGCGACACCATCTCTCGGAAATTATTTAATAATTTGCTCCAATATATGTGCAAACAGATAGAATGGAATGAATTAGGTATAAATATAAATGGCGAAAACTTGAACCACCTGCGATTTGCTGATGACATTGTCTTGATATCCAATTGCGTAAATAAAGCACCAGAAATGTTACAAAAATCGAATGCAACCTCTGAACAAATGGGAGTAAAAATCAACATCTCAAATACCCAAGTGATAACAAACCTAGTAATTGGCTGCGGAATATATTAACCAATATCAAATGCAAAACAACTGCTTACAAGTACTTGGGACATGAAATACGTATAAGCCGCGATAACCAAACTTGCGAGCTTAACAGACGAATAGGACTGACTTGGGCCCCCTATGGAGGATTGAAATACATTTTCAAAGGGGCACTTTCGATATGTTTGAAGAGAAAGGTATTCAATCAATGCGTACTACTTGTTCTAACGTATATAACATTAACCAAGAAAACTGTAAGCAAAATCAGAATAACGCGAAGAACAATGGAAAGATCAATATTGGGGCTATTTCTGAGAGACAAAGTACCAAATATCGAAGAATCACTGATGCCATAGAGAAAATAACTAGTTTGAAATGAAATTGCAAGGCTAAACGATGGATGAAAAAAATGACAGAATGGAGACCAAGACACGAGTAGAGGCCGACCTCCAACCAGATGGCATGACGACTTAAGGAGGTATCCACAGTAACTGGATGCAAATAGTTCAAGATAGGGAGTTATGGAAACAAACGAGGGAGGCCTACGTCCAGCAGTGAACTTCAGTGGCTGGGTGATGATGATGATGAGTGAGGTAAAACCAAAATGCTTCAAACTTTCTGTATATGATTATTTTTAGTTTGTTTTTAATTTTTACATATATTACATGTTTCTTTATGTTATGTTTTTTAAAATCAAAGATGCGATAGCCATACAATACTAACCTCTACAGATGCTTTAGCAATATCTTTGTTTATATTAGATTGGATTAAAAAATATTCTTTTATTTTTATTTTAGAGACCATCGGTTCTCTCATCATAATTTTTGCGTTGGTGAAATCTACTCTGTGCTCTGTGAATGCTGATAAATAGATTTGCGAAAATCGCTCTTTTTAAATAATCTTTATGTCCTTTAATTCGAACATTTAGAGTTGCTGCAACGACGTCCCGTAATCCTGCGGTTAAAACATATCAGCTAGTTTTTGTTGTTATATTTTAACAGTAGGATTACGGGATGTCGTTGCATCCACCCTTAATGGTCTAGATGTTTCGCCAAAATAAGATGTATCCCATTCACATGTTATTTTATATATGATTTTTTTTTGTGGTAGGTACATGGATGTTGTAGTTGCAGTTCGAAGACTACTTTTGTTCAGTATTTTGTTATATACAACAGCTAGTCTACTTTTAACAAATATAAATATATATTTGCTGTCATTAGATAAACGAATTATTGCCATTAATAATTACTATTTAATTGTTCCTATCTAATCAGGCAAAACCAAAAAAAAAACTAAATAAATAAAGGCATGTGCTGGTATTTATATATATTTGTGTATTGTATACTGGGATATCAAACTTAAGACTGATAACTGCCTGGATATAATTTATTCCGAATAGCTATGATTTTTTTTCGAATTATTCAAATATGTTTTTTGTTATTGTTTTCTTATCACATCTAATTAAGCACTATCTATTGTCACGTTATTTTAATACCTAATATAGTACCCATAATGGTATAATGGTAGTTATTGTTATTTCAACTGATTTAAAATGTACAGTCACGATGTAACAAACAAATCGTGCAAAAAATGTATCAAAAAAACAAGTTACGAAATACATTTCCACTATTTTTTTCCTCGTTTGAAACTCATGGTGCACGATAATTATAGTTATCATTAAATGATCAAATATGATTTTCTCAGCAACTTGGTATTTATTTCAAAGAGACACCCAATAGGCCATGATGTTTTATTACTTCATTTATTAATGAGCTTTACTGCTTTTTTGATTGCCCAAAGCATACCCTCATTTAACAGTTCGCAGATGAAGAAAAAAAACTTTTTTAATAATAAATGTAAAGGTTTAGGCTCGGGTTTAGGCTACATAATCTATATAATTTTTAAAATTTCCAAATTTATAGCTTTGACACATTATTAAAATTTTAACGATTTGAAGATTAAGGTGATTTGAAGCATTATAAAAATAGCACTAAATTTAATGCACAAATTTGTTTAAAAAAATTGGAAGAATACAAGAACTTTCTAGATTTTCAAAAAAAAAAAAATGATTGTCAGTCAATTTACAAATACCAGATACAGTCATAATTTAATACAAATTAATAATAAGAATAAGAATTATTATAGATCAATATATTATTGTTTTAAAGTACAATGGTAGAAGTTGTTAAGTATGTTGCTAACTTTTTCATTATTTTACCTTTTATATCCGTGAAATAGAATATATAATTTCATACTTTTTTCATCATAGCTATTTTCTAAATAAAAGTGCGTATGTAAGGCTATATATAGGCTTTCAAATCTAAAGTGAGAGCATTTGGTTGTTACTTGCTTATACTGTCTCATTTATATCCTTCTAAGTAATCAATTTACAAGTTAATTCTTTCGGTGTTTGTACAAATTAAGAGATTTTTCAACTTAATATACAAAAGAGTTAGTAAATATCTCATTGGTCTAAAAGTTCACAGTATCTGATGGTTCTAAAAAAAAGGAAACCAAGAGGTTTGACAGAAAAAGAATTTATCTATTTGGATGTTGTGATTTTGAAAATTCTTATACATTGAATACGAAAAACTAATGGAAATTATATTTTAATACAATAGTATATTATATTTTAACACAATAAACAATTACAGGAGGAAACTTCAAAAGCGGGATTGTAGACAATGTTTTGCCAAATTAACCCCACTTTGATTGTTTACACAGTAGAGTTATCTGCAGAAAATCGCACTGGAAGGAATTAAAATTTAGGAATCTGTTTTTGTTCGATACAATTATTATTGAAGCCAACAAAATACTGAAGCACCAAAAGCTTCTAAAACATTTCTAGAGCAAGCCAATATAGGTATAGATTGTGCCATACTGATACTGCAGTCCTTATTAGGCTATTGGTTAGTTATTATGAGAAAATATTTTATTTTGGATTGGTTTGGTTGGCATCTTGGTCTAATAAAATATTTTTTTTTTTTAATTTAAATCTTGATGATTCAGACACTGAAAAATCCACACACTCAGTTTTATTGTTTATATTTATTCATATTCATTCAGAAATGAGAAACAGATTTACTAATGACAGAGCTGCTAAGTTAAACTACATGTATCCCACAATGAGAACTTGCCAAAGGACATACAGCAGAGCGATAGCTCAATTTTTACTTCCAATAATTCTGAAGCTTTTGAAGAAATTGACTTGCTTTAAGAAGACCTTAATGCCAAAGTTAATATTGTTTGTTGGTGTTGGTTGGTCATGACAAAAATTTTCACTATGAAAAAATCCTTTTTGTTTGATTAGTTACTCAAAAATTATTTATTTTATAAATTTGGCGCTATTTGTATTTTTTCAATGTTTAATTCTTTTTTATTTTTTTTAGTCTTGAATTCCTTCCAATATCTCCAAAAATATTTTTCCGCAAATTTTAAAATACTAGACTTAACAGTTTTCTTTTATATGAAACATTGTCTATCATACTTAAACAAACATCCGTTAACTATAACATTCAACAATTAACAAATTTAACTCACTTTTCAGTCACTTTTGCATTGATTTTGGTGGGCACACCGGCATACACGACGTTAGCAAACAACACTGGCGCCATACTTCTAGTAGATCTGTCACTACCAGTTGGAGACCCAAGTGTTTCTAACGTAACACTATCACTTTGTCTTCGTATTCGTCCCGTAAAAACATTGCCCATCAGTAAACGGTCGTTTCATAATATTGCTCGATTCACTCACTACAACGCCATCAATGGTACTGATCTCGCTGGCCCAAGACCTGTTTTATCGTTTATTAGTTTTGCGATGTGATAGTGGTGCTAGCTCGTTATTATTACTACGTCGATTAATAAAATTAAGCGAGGCGTATACGATTTACGATTTTTTTTAACGATATTGATCTACAAGGTGTATCTTATCATTTTTTTTGGCGATACAATACCTACCTTGTTAAAATTTTAGATAAAAATACAATCATTAAGCAGTATAGTATTGGCATTCTCTAAGTACATCACTGTTTGAATTTTGGTTTAAATATACATATGTCCAAAATTATTACATGTAGTGGTTAGAATTAAAATGGATCCTTTCCATTTTAATTCCAAGAAAAAAGTTCATTTTAATTTCCAAGAAAAAAAAATAAAATTTTAAAATAATCGTCTTTATACATTTATAGAATATTATTTTTTCCAGTAGAAAAGTGAATCAAGTCATACTTCACGCATTAAGCAGCAATAGCCTGTTTCTGTTTGCTTTCTGAATATTCTCTTGATTCCTTTCAGAAGTGAACTGGATCAAGTCCATAAAATTTAACGCTGTGCGCGACTTTAACACACGTGGTAAAGTTTAGATCTAAAAAGATCTTTTAATAATAATTAATATTTTAATTTATTTTGATTAAGATAATGAAACAAAGTCAGAACCATTTGCACCAAGTGAAGCAGATTATCAGTCATTTGAAAGGTCTGATTCTATCGTTTCTGAAAGTATAATTTGATTTTTCATTATTTTCACTATTGCTACATCAATAAGTTGGGCTGTTTTTCTTACAAATACTTAGTTATGTGACATGTTGTTGATCTGAATAAAACGGCACGAGAAATAAAAAACTTCTCATTTCATATAGACGTAACGTAATACACTCTCACAGGCAACACATGAAATATCTTCTTCCCTTTATCCCGTCTATATACCATAATTTTTATAAAAATCGAAGAAAACACTATTAACAGACAATGGGAAGTCAACAAATCCCTAAATGACGAAGAAAAATGTACCAATGAACCAATTTATATCTAAAATTACAAATATTTTCAGAGATGAAATGGTTCAAGTCCAAAAAATATAAACAAACATTCTTAAAAATGATCACAGTTGTATTTTGAGTTACTTCAGTTTGTAATTATAAAATTTAAAATATAGTAAAGCATTGTGTCAAGTTTTCTTCTCCAGCTTGTTTTATTTTAATTAAGTAACATTAAAAAACTTTAACTCTCATTTTCTTCATAATTATCTTACATGTAGTATTTTAGCACATCTGCATTGATCAAGCTATTATCGTATAAAAATGCCAAGAAATGTTATTTCCTACTTTAACAGAAGTCGAATAGTATCAAAAAATGAAGTGGCAGTAATTGTAGGCGTTAATCAAAGCGATATTTCAATAATAATTAATAAAAAGTTTTGCGAAACCAATAATGTCAAGGACCGACCAGAAAGAGGTTGGAAAAAATTTACTGTTATGTAGCATAACATCGTCGGTTGTCAATAATTGCCTAGAAAGAATCCATGAAGTACAACGAGCGCTTTATGTAGAGAGCTTGCACGGCTTGAGGCAGTTATTGTATCAAGACAAACTGTACCACTGAATTCCAAAATTAACAGAACAGCAAAAACGCACACGATTACAATGGGCACAGGAAATAGTTGAACAAAATCAAAACTGAGAAAATGTCATGTTTTCAGATGTGACACAAATAAACTTAGCGGATTCTCGATGAATCCATGAGTGTGGGCTCCAGAACAACAAGTCAGATTAGCTACAGCTCAGCCCCGTTTCAAAGGGGTATTAATGTAGTGTTTTGGGCTGGGATAATGAGAGGGGTTCAAACACCATTAGTTCTTATTGATGGAAGAATGACAGGACGAGTGACACGAAGTGTTAGACTGGAAGTGTTAAACTCAATTGTGCGTTCATTTCGATGGGCAGTTGGCGCAAATTTTGTCTTCGTTGATGACAATGGAAGTGCAGCAATTTTGTGACGAAGAGAGAATAACGTGTTTACGATAGCCATTAAATGACAAGGAATTAATATTCTAAAAGTATTATGTTAAAAAACAAGAGAATGACTTAAAGGGACTCAAAATAAAAGATCGTAGACTATGTTTGGTCGAATTAACGTTATATTCAATGGTTAGATTTTAGACTTGTCCCTAGAAAGCCACGGTGAAAAAAAAAAAATTTAATGGGTCCGTTTTTACTCAAAACAATATGTATTGGTTCTTTCATCCAGCCAAGTCCCAATGGCTTGAAAAAGGTATAATTCGATATTCAGGCGTCAGTCCTAAATGAAGGGTTCAGGGAAAAACTTGATAAGCGCCAATTTCTTAATTTTAGGATTTTACAATATTATGGTAGGTCTAATTGGTCCCTACAACATGTATAAATTCTGCAGGGCAATAAGTTGTTAAATCCTCTAATATATGCCTAGAAAAGGTATAAAATACAAGGAAAGAACCTGATAACCACCAGCCGTCCATTGCTCTCCTGTAAAATTAGTAAAATGGCGCGTATCATGTTTTCATCTGGACCTCTTAAATTGCGCCTTATCTTTGCGCTGCCAGTTGATATAACTGTTCTATAGTGTGTTATAGAGATGTTAAAGAAACCAATGCAGCAGTCGCACAATTTCAATGGCGAATGAGTTTGTCAATGATTTTTTGTCGTAATACAATATGTTGTCAAAAGATGATTAATGCAGTATAATTGTGTCGAATTTTTATAAGCAGAAGAATATCTAGATTCCAAAATCTTTGAGTGTGATTTGGTCAATAATCACTCGAATTACTTAGATCGGTAGCATCAAAAGTTAATGTTAGCCTTGATAATCAGCAATCTCCAAAGGTGCTGTTCCAATCAGATCAATTCTTTGAATTTTGGTTCAAGTAGCATTAAGTAGTTAGTGCTACATTTGATGTTCGAACAATATGACCGATATATTATGATGATCAAAAGGTGTATTTTGTATAATAAAAGATACATTTTTACAGTTGAAACACTAGGTATAACTTAAATTCCCATAAGCATTTTTTACCTGTTATCATACAAAACACACTTGACCTTAAAACTTTTTAATTGTAATAGATAATTTAAAAAAAAATTGTTAGTTAGAATTGTTATTATTTATATAGAAATATTTCCTTTTTTGAATTTTAGGTTTTGTCATATGTTCGTACATATCTATATATATATATATATATATATATATATATATATATATATATATATATATATATATATATATATATATATATATATATATATATATATATTTTTTTTTTCTTTCAATTTCAAGATATAAATAATAGTAAAATGACAAAAAATACAATTTTCGACTTTGTTCACCCTGTTTTATTTACTTGACTCATGTACCAATACTTCAATATCAGTTTTTTTACAAGAAATATTTTATTGAATGCTTTTAATGGTGCCATGGTTAATAAGTTTTTAACATCAGATATATAGTACCATAGATATTTTTTTGTTATACCTTTCATATCCGTACAATATTATTACAACAAATCACTTTTTATTATTTTACCTTACCATAGTTAGTTTAATTCTATTTTAAAAAAAGTTAGGCTGTTAAGAAAATTTAAAATAATAAACAGCAGATTTTTTTAAATACTATACCAATTCAGAATATTGATTATTATTAGTATGTATAAAAAGATAGTTTTATTGAGAAAATATTTAAGTAGTTAAATTACAAAAATCTCAATAGTTGAATTGGTCCAATAAACTACGACAGCTGATTTATTAATAATAAAGTTTTATTATTAAATTGCAAAATTAATATTGCACTTTACTCACATATATCTAAATTTAAACACATTTAACTAATCGAAGTTTAAGCATCAGATTTCATCAAAACATTTATTTTAACCTCTTGATTTTGCTCTCCACTACATCACATGATGTGTGACATTATCTTTCAATCTAGTCTCGATACCCATTATGGGTTTTCTTAGTAGTAACAATTTGTTTTCAGATATATTATTGTTTAAATTTTTTTACTATAATTTCTATGTTTGTGAAATGGTAGAAGTATATCTATATTATACCGGGTGACAAACAAAAATCGTTGCACAGGCCAAAATTTCATTGATTTTTATCGTATAAATTTTTAACTTCTGCATACAATTTATATAGTTCATCAAAACTTTTCAAAAAAGTTGAATATCACTTCTTGTTTAAGGCCAAAAGCAGTGATAAGCAAATGATACCCTGTATTTCTTTTCTAGAGCGCAATTTTCACCAACAAGTTATTACTATTATTCAAAATGGCGACGCAGTGCGGCTTATTTCAAATTCCATATTATGTATACCACTTACTATAATACAGATCACGTCAAACGGTTCATTGAAATATGTGTCACAGGGAATTAAATACTAAATATTTTATTGTTAGGTATATTGTTATCAAATAAAGACTTTCAGTTTTAAATTTGCAAAATTTAACGCATCAGGAATAAAACCCTTCTTACACAGTTTATGTTTATTATTTAATAATGATGTGCAAAAATAAAAAAAAAATTCACTTTAACTGGAGTACGAATATACTGACTGATTTAAAAGAAATGTTTTCACGAACCAATAGGCACCTACCCCAGTAACCTTCAGGCAGAAATCTACGCTATCGAAATATGCGTACAACTTATCTTAGAACTATCGAAAAGAAGAAATAGCCAACTTATCCGATAGTCAAGCAACATTAAAAGCGATCAACTCATAGTAACCATCAATTCGAAGTTGGTCAAAGAATCGATAGAAAGAAGCAATTAGGCAGAGAAAATAAAGTCATTCTACTCTGGGTGCCCGCTCACCAAGGGATAGAAGGCAATGAAACAGCAAATAATCTAGCTAGAAAAGGAGCTAACACTCCACTAACTGCATCAGAACCGTTCTGTTTTCCAAGTGGAAACCAACTAAAGGCGGAACTGAGGATGCTGGAAGACTCCATCCGTAACCTGGAATGAGAGTCTTCCAACGGTCTAAGACACTCAAGAAAGATACTCAGAACTTACGACCAAGAAAAATCAAAGATTTTCCTTGATTTAAGT